GATTAGAAAATTACATATTTTTATTCTGGTCGGTTGCACAACTTAATTATGGTGTTGATTATAAAAAAGCAACTTGATTATAGTCTAACCCCACTTTCTGTTTGGTACATGACTATATGGTACCTTTACTGTTCTGCGCAGGTCAGGATCATATACATTTCTCATTTCTGTCAGGTAATCTCCGTATTTGTTCTTTTAAACTGACTAGTATCTCTTTCATTGTCCCTCTCGTTTATACACCATACGGTTGTACTTGTGTCATATTATTGTGGGTACGTACTCTTTGCACTGCATATATGTTTGGCTGGATCAGGATATCAGATGCTTAAGGTCAAGTTGGACAAGGTGGTTTTCTGAAACATGTAAGTACTTATATTCACCACCTTTAATCCCAAACACTGCTTGGTAGATGTACAATGAGTGAAACTCTTTACCTGGACAATTGGTCGGACTTATATACAAAACAATAGACAGTATCTGTGTCGACGGACCCAACCAGGGTCTGGCGAACCCCCGGCTGGGTGTGATTCAGAGTTGCCTAGGCTTGGTGGTTGACATCTCCTAAAAAACCAAGTCCACGAATAAATGATGTCATGCTGATGGAAATGGAGATAAAGATAGCCATTGTGGATCCATCTTTATTTCCATTATGGCCTCACCACTGCATGTAGTACTTTCTAATTAATAAAAAACTCGTTTTTCGTAGCATTTTGCAGGTGGCATGTGATACATGCGTCCGGTGCTGAAAATGACTAAAAGATGTAGCGTTTTTTTCTTCTTGAAAGGACAAATAATGTAGAAAATTGAAAGAAATAATAATGAACCGAGACCGTATGTTTGGAAGTTATATGAAAGAGATCATTTTTTTATAGAAATATGAAAAAGATTATTGGTAAAAAAATAATAATGAAAGGAAATTTAGGAATTTCTCGTGTTTCCATTCTATTTTTAGCCAAACCAAAAAAGAAAAAAAGAGAGAAAAGAATAATAACAAAATAATTTAAATTAGTAGCAACAATTTATTAGTTTAAGTAAAAAAAATTAATTTTTCTTAAATAAGATTTTGTAGTTTAAATTTTATAAATAAAAAAATGAATATTAAGATAGTTTTTTCATAAGGTTGAACTTAATTTTAACTTTGAATTAATCGAAATTTAATGTATCTTTTGAATATTAGAAGATTTAGACTAAAAAAAATTCTAAACTAGTGGTGTCTTGAAGCCAAAAAGGTTTTCATTCATAAAAAAAAAAAATGGTAGTATTAAAAAAATGAATTCATTAGTAATTTATGCTACATAACTTCTCCTTTTTTTTCAAAGAAATAATCTAATAGGATAGGAGCATGCGGTACTAGTGCATAAACCAAATCGAAATGTGGCCTTTCATTTCCTAATTAATTTATTTTACAGAGTTGACCCACAAATTTTTTTAAATGTCTATTAGTTTAAAGTTTAAAAATAAAAGTTGAACAATTTACTATGGGCATAATGAATAACTAGTACAAAACAAAATCATGCCCCCCAACCAAATTGGAATCCTAAAAGAAGAATGCATCTTCCGTAGGGAATCGAAGATTTTTCAATAGACATTGGAGGTCCCATTTCAATTTCTTAACCCAAAGGCACATTGGAAAGCTTTGATGCTTAATTTATTCACTGCTGACAGTTTGATAATTGATTGCTTTAGTGGACGGTGATGAACTGATGATGCTGATTCGTCGGGGGGTGGA